AAAATAATAACAGAAAATTTCCCAAACCTAGAGAAAGCTATGCCCATACAGGTACAGGAGGCCTCCAGGACACCAAACAGACTGGACCAAAATAGAACTACCCCACAACATATTATCATTAAAACAACAAGCACAGAGAATAAAGAAATAATATTGAAGGCTGTAAGAGAGAAAAAACAAATAACATACAAAGGTAAACCCATGAAAATCACAGAGATTTCTCACTGGAAACCTTAAAAGCAAGAAGGGTATGGAGTGAGGTATTCTGGACACTGAATGAAAACAACTTCAACCACAGAATACTCTATGCAAAACCAGACAAAGACATCTCCAAAAAGAACTGTAGGCCAATCTCCTTAATGAACATCGATGCAAACATCCTCAACAAAATAATGGCAAACTGAATCCAACAACGTATCAGAAAGATCATTCACCACGACCAAGTCGGCTTCATCCCAGGGATCAAGGGGTGGTTCAACATACACAAATCTATAAATGTAATACAGCACATTAATAGAAGCAAAGACAAAAACCATTTGATCACCTCAACAGATGTAGAAAAAGTCTCTGATAAGATCCAACACCACTGCATGATAAAAGCTCTTAAGAAAACTAAGAATGGAAGGAATGGACCTCAACACTGTACAGGCTACATATGACAAACCTACAGCCAACATCCTACTTCATGGAGAAAAACTGAAACCATTTCCCCTAAAATCACGAATGACACAAGGGTGCCCACTCTCCCCACTCCTTTTCAACACAGTCCTGGAATTCCTAGCCACAGCAATTAGGCAAGAAGAAGAAATAAAAGGAATACAAATAGGTAAAGACACTGTCAAAATATCCCTATTTGCAGACAACACAATCCTATACCTCAAAGACCCAAAAAACTCTACCCAAAAACTCCCAGACACCATAAACAGCTACAGCAAGGTGGCAGGATACAAAATCAACTTACAAAACTCATTAGCTTTTCTACACACCAACAACAAACAAATTGAGAAAGAATATATGGAAACAATTCCATTTACAATAGCCTCAAAAGAAATCAAATACCTGGAGTAGACTTAACACAGGATGTGAATGACCTCTACAAGGAGAACTACAAACCCCTGAAGGAAGAGAGAGAGGAACACTACAGAAGATAGAACATCTCCCATGATTATGGACTGGTAGAATCAACATAGTAAAAATGGCTATACTACCAAAAGCAATCTACATGTTTAATGCAATTCCCATCAAAATCCCAAGGACACTCATCACAGAGATTGAAAAATCTACCCTAAAATTCATTTAGAAACTCAAGAGACCACAAATAGCCAAGGTAATACTCAGCAAAAAGAGCAATGCTGGAGGTATCACAATACCCAACTTCAAACTATATTACAAAGCAATAGCAATATAAATAGCATGGTACTGGCACAAAAACAGACATGAAGACCAGTGGAACAGAGTAGAGAATCCGAATATGAACCTGCACAGCTACGTCCACCTTATTTTTGACAAAGGCACCAGAGACATACAATGGAGAAAAGACAGCCTCTTCAACAAACGTTTTGGGAAAAGTGGTTACCTGCCTGCAAAAAACTGAAATTAGATCCATGTTTATCACCCTGTACTAGTATCAACTCAAAATGGATCCAGAACCTTAATATCAGACCTGAAACTCTGAAGTTAGTACAGGAAAGAGCAGGGAATACTCTGGAAGTAATCGGTATAGACAAGGACTTCCTAAGTAGAACACCAGCAGCTCAGCAACTAAGAGAGAAGATGGACAAATGGGACTACATGAAATGAAAAAGCTTCTGCTCATCAAAAGAAATGGTCTCTAAACTGAAGAGAACACCCACAGAGTGGGAGAAAATATTTGCCAGCTACACATCAGACAAAGGACTGATAACAAGAATATACAGGGAACTCAAAAAACTAAACTCACCCAAAATCAATGATCCAATAAAGAAATAGGCAATTGAACTAAATAGAACTTTTTCAAAAGAAGAAATTCAAATGGCCGAAAAACACACGAAAAACTGCTCACCATCTCTGGCCATAAAGGAAATGCAAATCAAAACCACACTAAGATTCCACCTCACCCCTGTTAGAATAGCTATCACCAAAAACAACAGCAACAACAAATGTTGGCAAGGATGTGGGGAAAAAGGAACCCTCATACACTGCTGGTGGGAATGTAAGCTAGTGCAACCACTCTGGAAAACAATATGGAGGCTTCTTAAAAAACTAAACATAGATCTGCCATATGATCCAGCAATCCCACTCCTAGGGATATATCCAAAGGAATGCAACTCAGGTTACTCCAGAGGCACCTGCACACCCATGTTTATTGCAGTGCTATTCACAATAGCCAAGTTATGGAAACAGCCAAGATGCCCCACTACTGATGAGTGGATTAAGAAAATGTGGTATTTATACACAATGGAATTTTACTCAGCCATGAAGAGGAATGAAATCTTGTCATTCCCAAGTAAATGGATGGAACTGGAGAACATCATCTTAAGCAAAGTTAGCCAGGCTCAGAAGGTCAAAAATCATTATGTTCTCCTTCATATGTGGACTTTAGACCTAAAACAAATGCAGTAATATTATTGGACACGGGTCACACGCTAAAAGGAGAACACATACTGGAAGAATAGGGGAAGGCAGGAAACCCGAAACTTGAAAGTGTTTGATGTCCCCACTGTAGAGGAGCTAATATAGTAATCTTAAACTAACAGAGGTCACTATGGGAAGGTGATCAGGAAGTAGGGAAGAGGTCTGGTAGAGACGAACCAATTTGGGTTGTAATACACATGTGCATAGGAGCAATGCTAGGAATCTCTCTGTATAGCTATCCTTATCTCAAACTAGCAAAACCGCTATGTCTTTCTTATTGCTATGTCTTCTCTTCAACAAAATTGAAGAGGTCAGAACAGGTTCTGCCTGGCATTGAGGGGAGAGGGAGTAGTGGGATAAGGGGAGAAAATAAGTCTTTTCCTCATTGTCATGCTATAGTGTAGCAGGCGGAATGGCTCAAGTGGTAGAGCACCTTCCTAGCACTAAGACTCCAATGAGGCCCTTAGTTCAAAGGTGCCACTCATGCTACAGTGTAATAACTTCAAATAAATATGGAGCTATTTATACATGCGTAATTTTTAAATTAGTTATAAACTATACTAATCAATGCTTAAAATGTAAAAACATTTTAATATGAATTCCGTCTACGTTTTTACTCAATCTTTAATTCCAATAACTAATATAAACCCTCATATTACTCTCTAAGAGGTATATATACTGCTAAATAATTTGTCCCAGTGTCATTATGATTTTCAAAAACCCTTTTTACCCAAAATTTTATGCATCAGTAAAATATACTTCTTTTGAGAGTGATTTACATTCATGACACTTGACCTTTTGTTGTACAGACCACAAAATTCAAGTCTCAAATACCATGCAAGCCAGAAAGCCAATCATTCCTGCAGTAGCCATCTTCATGGTCCAGTATCAAATATTAGGTCTAGGTTGCAATAAGTCTTGTATTACAAATCTTTTTCTACAGCCTCTGTAATTATTTGTAATGTCTTTTAAAATGTGTTTCTTATAGAACATCTGGCCTTCAAACTTCCACCTACCCACTGAAAAAATACTTAGCGCCTATATTTTTTTTCTTTTAATATGCAGCAATATATGGGTGGTACAACTAAAGCCAGACATTTTTAAAAAATTAAATTACAGTAACCGATGATGATTAAGAATCATCTGTTACCAAATACAAACGTGAAATAAAACTTTGTTACAATATTAGCTATCTATAGGTTTCCTAATAAATCTCAAATACTGAAAGTTCACAAAATAAATTTTCAAGGGAATTTAACATTGGTCTATTCACTTCCAAGAACCACATTATTTGAGTTAGATTAGATAATAACAGGTTTGGAAACAAGGATTTCATAAACAGAAAAAAGATCTGAGCTCACTGGATTGATATAACACTCAAAGCACCTACTTAAAATAGGAAATAATTTGAATAGCTCACAAATATCCCTAATTTCATAGAAATTAAAATTATATTTAGGATACACTAGAATTGCTTTATGGTTCTTATGAAGACAATCATTCTAATAATACTTATCAATTCACTTAAAACTGAAAGACAAATGTTAAATGTACACTGAGGAAAAAGTAATAAAAATGAATGACAGATATGCTTTTTCCAAAATGAAAGCAAAAACATTTTTCTCCAAATGCTGCTAGCTATCCTGACCTATTTTCCTCCTAGATTAGAGTGTGGCAGACACTTCTTAAAACCAATTTTATACTTTCGCAAAAACCTTCACCAAAACCGGGCGCCAGTGGCTCATGCCTATAATCCTAGGTACTCAGGAAGAGGAGATCAGGAGGATTGCAGTTTGAAGGCAGCCCAAATAGTTAATGAGACCCTATCTTGAAAAGTCCATCCTAAAAAGAAGGCTGGTGGAGTACCTCAAGGTGTAGACCCTGAGTTTAAACCCCAGTAACAAAAAAAAAAAAAGCCTTCACCAAAAAATATGAGTGTGGAATTCAGAAATAAATGTCTGAAAAAAATCATTTGTGATGCCAAAACTTCAAAAACAATGAAACTTGGTAAACATAAATACATTTTTCATCTCCCAAGAAATCTTCTGATTTAGAAATGTCATGTAAATAGAAACTCATATACACCCTTTGCAAAACTTCAAAGATCTTAATCAAAAAGTTAGATTTAATCAGGCCTCACTTCTATTATGGATATAAGTAATCACCAATCTACATGATTCCTAATAATCTACATGATGACTGACTAGGCAAAATTTATATTAAAATATCTTTTAGATGTTCTATACTCTTCTGCAAATAATTATGTTGGATATAAAAAATAAGAATATGATTTATGAAAGTTGACATATTCCAAAAATCAAAGAAATATCAATATAATAACCATCAAAATCAATTACCATAAACAACTAGGTTCAATAATTTCTTACCTGTATTCCATCTTTAAGTTTCAAAATGCATTCCATTGTATTGATGGTAATTACCACTGGTTCTGAACCCAGTTTTGTCCATGGTACATGAATCCTCAATTCATGAATATGTCCACTTAAAAAAGTAAATGGTAACTTCAATTCCTTAAAAGACAAGTCATAAATAAAGTTAGTGTGTGTTTAATATCTTTTATTCTAATATCCAAATTCCTTTCTTAAAAGAAAAATGAACTATCCAGTGCAAAAATATTTTTATTAGTTTATTAAAAAGTAGAATCAAATAACTTCTTAATAATAATAAACTTAAAAATTTTTGTGAAAGTTACATTTAATAAGTTAGTCAAACACTCTGGGCATCAGTTTCCAAATATACTGAGTAGAAATGATATTCAGTGATATCCCTGCACATAATAAAGGCCTGTAAATGGTGGTCAGAATAGCAGTGAAAGCAGGAGACAGCAGCAGTACTCTAGATATCTGCAATGATATTTTTCTTAAATCTCAAAAATATATCCTCAAAAGGTCTCTGTAAGGCAATTTGAAATGAAGGCTTAAATGAATATAGGAGAATGATGTGATAAAACAAAAACTAGCCAACCTAGTTTTAAAAAAAAAAAAAAAACCTATTGCACTTAACCTAATTAAATATTATACCTGGATACTACTAGTTATAAATTCAAAATGTTCTCTGTTTTCCATTATTATTAGACAAAGTTTTAGGAATGAAAATCTAAATTTCACCATAGTCACCTTATACTAATTTGTTTCACTTCCAGACAAAATTTTTGTGATAAATCAACAAAGAAAGAAATTATATTTCTATCATACTCTCAGTTATAGCAGCTATTTGTAAGGGTTAATATAGCCATATACAAGCAGTAAGGTAAAGTGTTCACAACCAATAACTGTGGAGCAAGTAGACATATATAAATCTTATCTCTGCCATTTAGTAATCCAGTACCACTGGGAATATTTGTTTCATGTATCTGTACCTCCTTTTCATTATCTGCAAAACAGAATAATAATAGTATCTTTTTGAGAATTAAATCAATTCACTTACATAAAGTGTTTAGAACACTGTCTTCCTCACAGAGAAATCATTTTAAAAATGCTAAACATTATTTTAACAAAAGGGTGGGTCTAATTTATATATTCAACCAAAGGGTTTTTAAGGCCAAACTACTAAAAACCTGTTACTACTCTTTGCTAATAGAATGTCACAAATTTTAAATATTTCTCATCTAAAGAGGAAGTAATTTCTTCATTATTATATGCCAGTCAGTGTCGACAAAAAAGACAGTATTCAGTAAGCATTTACTATATACTAGGCATTATTCTAAGCATCTTACCTAAATGTAATGATTTAATCCTCATAAGCGCAACAAAAAGTAAATATTATCATCCCCTTTTATAACAAAACTGAGGCATGAAGTGTCCAATAACTTCCCAAAATGAAACATCAAGGAAAGCCAGGACTCAAAACTGACAAATACGATGCCAGAGTCCTTGCTCTTAATAAAACTGCCTCTATACTTCCATTATAAGCACTGGCTATGTGTACACTGGCAACACATCTACTTGGAAATGAATGCAATACATTTCCACCACTACCACAACAACTTGTACAGCAACAATACATTTGCAAAATATGGCTACCAAAGCTGCAGTCTATTGGAACAAATCAGATTTTCTCAGGGAGAAGTTAAGAGACCTGAATTAAATTCAAGAACTATCAGAATGCTACTCATCAACTTAACTACTAACTAAACATTAACACATAGGTGTTCTCTACATTAGAATATGGAATTCTGAACCATATGTCCCATGCTAGAGGTAAAAATAAAATTCAACACTTATTACAATCTAAGCAAGAAAGTTTGTTTTCTCATCAAAGACTTGTTGTGAGGGTTGGAAATGTGGCTCAAAAGGTAGAGTGCCTGCCTCACAAGCATAAAGCCAGTCACACCAAAAAAAGAAGAAAGGACATGAATAGACATTTTTCCAAAGAAGATATATAAATGGCCTCCATGCATATGAAAAGACGCTCAACACCAAATCATCAAAGAAATGCAAATAAAAACCATAATGAGTAAGGTACTACCTCACACCTGTGAGGACGGCCACCACTGTCAAAAAAATAAGTAACTTCTTAGTAACAAGGATGCAGAGAAACGAGAATCTTTATGCTCTCTTATGAGAACATAAAATAGCACAGCAGCTATGGAAAACAGAACAAGACAGCCAAACAGAGCCTTGCTAGGATCTCACATGTCCCTGATGAAAGTCTGCTTACTCAGAAGGCTTCAGAGAAGGACCTACAAACTACTCATTCCTGGTTGACCACCATGCCTTGTCAACACATACAGAAAAAAAGAAAAAAGGAAGATCAGAATTGTAATTCCCTATCTTTGAAAGTATTACCCAGTATACCTACATGTCTCATACCAAAGAGCAAAACTCTTACTAACTCAAAGATTTAAAAACCTCTAACAAACTACCTTTTTGGTGGGGGGGGGCAGTAATTGGGCTTGAACTCAGGGTCTCACACTTGCTAGGCAGACACTCTACCACTCGAGCCACTCAACCAGCCCCAAACTACTGACTGATGACTAAGGTATAGTAACCCAGGGCAATCCTTAGGAAGCCAGAGTTGTGACAACATCTTATTCAAAATGCGCAATTTTCAACCAAAAAAAAAAAAACTATGAAACACACTAAGCATACACAGAAAAAAAGTAAACAATATAAAGTATCTCTGAAGGTGTTCAAATGCAGGAATTAGTATATGAAGACTCCAAAATATCTACTATAAATATAATCTTTGTAGACATAATCAAATAGTGAAAGAAAGTAACTGTCAACCAGAAAATTCTATACTCAGGAAAACTATTCTTCAGTAATGAGGACAAATTAAAGACATGTACAAATTAAGAATGAGCTAATGAATGAATAAGTAATGAATTCACTATTAGTAGACTAAGAAATGAAGTTCTTCCAACTGAAAATAACACCCAATGATAAAGTAAATCTGCACTAAGAGAGTCAATAAAGGTAATTAAGTAGATAATTATTAATGAACAGTATAAATGTTTTTTCCTGCTTTCTTTTTCTGATTTAAAAGGCAATCTCAAAGGGGAAGAAAAGGAATTATAGTGGAGAAAGTATTTATATTTTAATGGAACAAAAGTTAGTATTAATCTCAAGTTAATTTAATATGCCACATATTAAATGCATATTAAATGCACAGGGTAACCCTTTGAGCAACCAATAAGAAAATAACTCAAAAAATAATTTGAAAATTCAACAAAGGAATTAGGATACCAGAAGATATTTACTACTTAAAAGGAGGTAGTAAAAGAGTATTGGAAGAACAGAAAAAACCGTAAGACACATGAAAAAGGATTGTAAAATGAGAGCTGTAAATCCAATCACCCTATGAATAAAAACATACAATGTGATGGATTAAATGCTACAATCAAAAGGCAAAGAATTTTGTACAGGACTTAAAAAAAAGTGTAACTAAATGCTCTCTACAAGATAAACAATTCAGATTTGGAAGCAGAAACGGATTGAAAACAAAAATAGAAAAAGATATATCATGTAACTACAGAGAGCTGGACTAATTACACTAATACCAGACAAAACAGACTTTATGGGAAGAAATGTTACTAAAGACCAAATAGGGACTAGAGATGTGACTCAAGTGGTGCAGCACCTGCCTAGCAAGCATGAAGCCCTAACTTCATACCCAAGTACTGCCAAAAAAAAAAAAAAGACACTATAAAGATATAAGAATCAATTCATGAAGAACATATAAAATATGTAAGAACATACCAATAAGCTGGGCAGTGTGATGCATGCCTATAATCCCAGCTACTCAGGAAGCAGAGGATAGGGAGCTTGAGGCCAGCCCTGACAAAGTTAGTGAGACTGTTTCATTAAAAAAGAAAGGCTGGGGGTATTGCTTAATTGGTAGAGTACTTACATAGCAAGTGCAAGACCATGGATTCAATCCCCAGTACCACCAAAAAAAAAAAAAAACACGAGACAGTGCACCAAAATACATAAAATCTAACAAAACTAAAAAGAGAAACAGACAATTTAACAGCAACTCATAATAATGGACAGAACAACTAGACAGAAAATCAGCAAGGGCAGAGAAGAAATGAACACAACACTACCAGCCTACTAATCTATACACCTCCAACAACTTGATTAACAACTGCAAAAATACACAACTCATCTCAAGGGAAATCAGAAAACATGTGAACTGAATAAAATTGAAAATACAATATATGAAAATCTGTGATGTGCAATGAAGGAAATTCATAGTTGTAAATGACTATAATAGAAAAACATACATATATCAAATCAACCTCCCACCTTAGGAGTAGAAAATACTCATTTAAGGCAGACTCTAATAAATCAACTAAGCATTTTCTAATTTTTAGGGTAAATGAAATAATGTCTTAAAGTACATAATTAAAAAGTGTGTAAAGACAGGACTGTAAAATAGGTATAGTGGAGGGGTGTGCTTGTGGGAGGGAAGAGAGTTAATGAAGGAAATTAAGGTGATGGTATATGGTGGATGGACTTCATATACATATATGAAATAGAACAAAGAAACCTCTTGCAATTCCTTTACGTGGGGCAGAGAGGAAGTGGAGGGGGAGAGACAGTGGGGGTGATCTAACCAATGTACAATATAAGCATATTTGGAACTATCCCAATGAATCCCCCCTGTACAACAAATATATCCTAACAGAAACAATGAAATAAAAGTGTTTAATGCAAGAAGAATTACTACAATGAAAGAGGGACATGTGTCATGACAATTTTTAAAAGCATATTAAATAATAAAATTTCAGAGTATTAAATTTGTTATTTACTTAACAGTACTTATGTTATGTACTTTAAGATATATAAAGTGAAAGCTGACAAACATAAAAGTAGACAAATTCACAATCATAGTTGGAGACTTTAACATACCTCTCCTTGTGACAGAACAAGCAGACAATGAAAATCCATGTGGTCTTACAAGATTTAAAGAACTTACCACTGATTTTGAACCGACAGATCAAGAACACTGTAGCAACAACCGCAGAATACACTTTTCTTAACCAATTGTACATGTAACATTTATA